AATATTAGCAATATGATTGGCAATGTTATTGGTACATCATCGTTATATTTAGAATGTAAGTTCAAACAACGTTGATCATGCTTGCCAAACGTTTGCATATATTTAAGAATCTTTACTTGTGTGTGCATTATAACTATTTTAATAATGTTAAAAACACCTATTATAATGCTATCCTATATTTTGATGTATTTTTTTCGGATATCTATCATCACCAACATATATCTTGAAAAATGAATTAAAGGAACATACGTATCTCAATGAAAGTAACTTTAACATTTTTGTTAAGACATGGTAAATTTGAAGAATCGAGCGTATATAGTTACAGAGTGCGATTTGCCAGTTAGTAATAACAAGAGTTACTGAACGAAAAGATGTGAAGTAATCCGGTCTGACGTGAAACAGAGCACATTGATAAGACAGGATGTGCTGTAGGAAGTCTACAAAAACAGAAGGTTTGCATCAACGATTACATAATGACGAACGAATTCACAATTAACACAATATTTGTTTTTCAAGATGGACCATGGATAGTTAATGGAGAGAATAACCACCACACTGCAAGCGAAGGTCATAATGTTACGCTAGACTGCATTGTCGATGCTGTGCCGCACGCTGAAGTACTGTGGAGCTATGAAACAGATGAAATAATACACACTACGGAGAATATGGTACATGACGTTCGCGTTATAAATGAGACGCATGTACATGGTTATCTCCACATTCTTAACATCACTTCAGAACAGTTTGGTAAATACAACTGTACTGGAAGTAATTTGTATGGAGAAGATACTGTTATTGTTATATTGTCTGTAGAAGGTGTGTGAAATTGAGTTTATTTATAGTATTAGTGCATGGTTTTACTGACAGATGGATGATGATTGGCTATTTCATTAACTTTACCATGTTTACTTTTTCTTCCTTTTTTCCTATTGTCTAACGTATGATTTCTGGTTATGTGATATACATTGTATATGTCATTATAAAGAAGTTACGTACTATTATATGTATTTATTATCTAACAATTGTCTCGCATTTACAGATCATGAAATTGAAGAACCGGGAGAAGGTTCGGTTGGGATAATTATCGTTGTTTTCTTATTAATAATTTTGATTCTTGCTGGATCCATCGGGGTATCATTATTGGTTGTCTCTAAAAGACGCGGAGCCTCTAAATCAGATAAAGGTACGAATATTGTGTTTGTACCATGAAGAAGTTCAACTATGAATATTATATTTTTAACGACAAAGTATGTGAACATTCATACGTGAAGTGCACGTACATACCTTTAATAGTGTGTACGAACAAGTTGTTACATTTAAATGATATATTCACCATCTTCACTTACAATAAGTACTTTTATTACGAATATTTTATTTTCAGAAGGCAACCAAGTACAAATTAGGTAAGTATTCCTTTCATTGTAGGAGAATATTTTAAAACTAGAAGGCGTTTCGATCAATCAATTTTAATGGAAACAAATATTTATTATTAAATCTGATACCTCATGAATTCACATTTATTATGTAAATATATTAGTATGATGTAAATGATTATTTTCAAAGGAATGTTTATGTATTTATTTGTAGAACCGAGACGCATGCTTGGAGTTATAAAAATACTGTCGAGTCAGAAAATGTTTATATGGATTTAATATTCGACAAATCATTCAAGCAAGGTAATATTGGATTTACATTAAAATGGCAACATTTATACACTACCCATTTGAAATATCTTAGACATAACGCACTTTCACGGGTAATGTTATGAAGTTGCTAAATAAAATGTGTTATTTCTTACAGCAGGTAAAGAGGCAAAACATGTGAATGTGAGTATGTTATGTATACTAAATACATATTGGCTAAACACATTTGTGATCCATTAATCATTTTCAATCGTCAACTGTTTTCGCCAAACCCAGATGGTCCTTCAATAAGACTATTCTTCTTACGGTATCTGTTGATTGTATGGTTGTTTTGTTTTATTGTTATAACACGTGTTTGTTCATTTCCCTGCGTGCAACAAAGCCGGGTGCGATAGATGTCCCTCTGCAACCGAAAAAAGTATGGAATGGACTGTTCACTGAAATTACAAAAATATATATCACGACAACGAATCGAAAGTCATTATATCTTATGAAACGTGTTAAAGGTGTGTATGTTATACTCTAGTAGCACATAACTCACTTTATATGAACTGTAGAAGGAGAAAAAAATAGTAGAAGATTTGGGTAGTTTTATTATAACTTGTCTTGTAATTTATGTTGATTACGAAATACTCAGCAAATACATGTATTTGCCAATCAAATACCATGGTCCAGCATTACAATGTGTTACTAAACGCACGAACACATCGTACAGCCGCAATGCAATTTTAAATATAACATAACTTGTATTTTCTTCTATTCCGATAGAGACCGTTGAATACAACGCTGCGAAGTCGTACCTACTCAGGGAAATTGAAGTTATGAAACATATTTCTAAGTACGATAATGTTATCAAGTACTGTGGCGACTGTGTGACAAAAGGTAAAATAAAAAAACGCATTTTGTTGTCCACAATTACACATTGTGCCTCTATGTATGCAATATTACGGTACTGTAATCAAGAGGTTGTTACAAATTATGTTTCAGATCCAATTCACATGATCTTCGAATACTGTCCATTTGGAGATTTAAAGACATATCTTCAAATGTATCGTAAACAGTGTGATAAGTCCTGGTTAATGAGTGGTTCTGATTCACCATGGAAAATGGAATTTATTACCTGGTGTATTCAAATAGCTAAGGGACTCTCTTTTATGGAAAAAGAAGAGGTAAGGTTTTTTGAATTGATTAATTTATGGTGTATGTATGTTGCTATATATATTTATTTATTTATTAATTTAAACTGTGATTTTATTCTAGATTGTACTGCGAGTATTAACCGCACGTAGTATATTGATTGGTAATGATAGAATTTGCAAAATTACAGACTTAGGATTTTCTACCGCAGTCATGTCTCCATCCGAATTTGAAGACAACGTCAAGGTAAACAAGCTAAACAATTTCTATATTTTATGTTGGTGAAATTTTAATAGTGCAGCCCAAAAATGAAAATAATGACCAAACCTAATTTTAAACAGAATGACCCAACTAATTTACATATTTAAGCATATAAATCGGGAATTTGGCTAAGCAAATTTCAATCTACTCAATGAATACAATGTGAAATGTATTCTATTGTACAATAAATTTTGTAATATTGAATAATTTTTCATGTTTTACTACAAAAGGAAATTTATTGTATTGACATTATACACGTCAACCAATATGTTACGATTTAAAACATTGGTCATATTTGATACATTGTTGACATTTTCATTGATTTGTCAGATTTTAAGTAATTATACACATTTTGAACACGTTGGGTAAAACATTAATCACATCTGTTTGCAATTGACCACATTTAGTACAGGATTTGTATAACCCACAATCTTTGCATTGCTTTCGCCTTTGCAAAAAATGAATATTGGGATAGTTTATAACATTTCTTTCTAATATTTTCAGAGAGATCTTCTACCGTTGCGATGGATGGATGTTGCAACAGTTCATAACGAATGTAACAACATCTCAAAGATTATTGCTCATATTGTTGAATTATTGTATTTCACTAAGTAATATCTTTCATTTGATATATAAACTGATGATTTTCGAGATTGAACCTTTTTAACAATCAATTGGGCTTACCAATTACCTAAAGATAAAGGTAGTTATGGAGCATTCCAGAGAGCTTAAGGCGTACGGGCTAGGGCAGCAAAGGCCGTACCGATGCTATAAAGGTTTTATCATTTATCTTATAGGTGTAATTACAATTTCACTATGGCGGGACCTCAAACACACGACGTAATTTAGAATGACGCGTTTTGTTTTGATTGCAAGCCTGGCGCGCTGTGCCGGGTGTGATAGGGGAAATTATTGCCCGGATGTGAGGCGCACTTCGAGGTCGGGCAATACGTGATATATATAATAACAATTTGTAATCAATTGAAGATTGGTTACATAATGTCAAATCACGAAACAAAATAATGACAGTAGAGTACGATTATCGTGATTCAGCTCGAGAGGATAAATTTATTTTGTTTTGAATTGTGCAAAGAAAAATCCGTTCGGCTAGGGAAACACGGTATATATATTGTTAACAGCCCAGGTAAAAGTATATAAGCTTATTAGGCGTAAGTCAACAAAATTGTATTCAATTATCACCTCTCAGTACTATGTCTGTAACAATTTGTATGTGCTATTATTTACTTATATAAACAGAACATGCATATAGACATAACACTGTTCCAGGCATTTAAGTTAGCCGTGATATCCGGCACACAGAACTAATTAAATTGTTGGGATAGTTTAAAATAGTTACTTCTAATATTTTCAGAGTTGTCTACCTTTGAGATGGATGGCTTTGGAGTCTTTGCTCGACTGTTTTTATACTAGCAAGTCTGATACATGGTCATACGGAATAGTAATATGGGAAATATTCAGTCTCGGTAAGTCTTTTCTTTTGCAAAAAGCGTTCTATAATATTTACACATACTGGCGACTTGCTAACATGTGTAGGGTTGTTCTAAAGTAAACGCCATATGCAAATTTTATTTTTTAACTGGATTTGTTTTCAGGTTGTCACCCTTACCCCGAAATGACTGCAACTGATGTTGTCCCAGAACTGCAACGAGGATATAGAATGGGACGTCCAACACATTGTAGTAAAAACATGTAAATAACTTTTTGAATAACGTTACTACTCAGTATTTTAGTTATGTTTTCACATTTGCATATTGCAAAATCAAGACTGATTGTCCGATCTTTAATATAGAAAGTATTTATAATTATACAATAATTATATAAGGGCTTGTATAGTAGATATTTTCTTTTAATTTATTTTTGTTTTCATTTAAGATACAACGTGATGTTGGATTGTTGGAATGAGGAGCCATCATCTAGACCGGAGTATGAGGATACTATTTACATACTTCAGTCATTGTTGAATTTGCAACTGGTATGTTTTTTTACATAACTCTGAAACATAACATGCCAAATCAATACAAGAAAATAGTGTCAATGTTTTTTTTTATTTATATGTGTATTGTGCTTTTCCACCAGGACGACGAAAGCTATAACCACACTGGTGACGATGATGCAAATCAGATATCCTAAATATAGTGAAAATATGATACCGTCGCCTGAAGAATATTAATATTCTAGCAACCACTATGCAAATTACGCTAATATGTAGATTGTAATCACTTTGTAATCACTCTCCATGGAAAAGGTTAGGGCTTAAGTAAATATTACAGTGATTGTTGTAGCATATAAGGGCTTTATTTAAACTATACCTGTTATACTATACATACATGGAGAGAGGGGCTTAAACAGAGAAAATCTAAGCTTCATGAAGCAGATAACTCATTGATTAACATGAAGGTAATTGAGACAAAATATTATTAAAATAAGCTATTAACAAATAAAAAAGAAAATAAAATAATTAGCAAAAAATTACAATTGATACAAGATTGAGATTGTTTTTTCAATTTAATGTGCTTTCCAGATATATTGCTACATAAATATGTAAGGAGGTTAGTTGATACAGCACTGTGTAACTAGTGCATACTGCACTATTTAACTGTTGCAGTTAAGATATTGAAAGCATGGAACATTATGTGTGGTTTTGTGAGTATGCACAAAACCTGTGGCGAACAAATTATATTTTACTATAGAGTCAGATTTGTCGTAGATCTAGATTATCTTTGAAAAATTTGAAATTGACAATATTGAGAATTTTGGAAAACAACGCAAATGCCACAGTGTGTTATTTGTTATTATTTACATATATACATCAACAACGGTGTCAATTGGCAGAGCTTATGGAGTATATTAGTATAGCATTATCAATACCAGTGAATGTTATGTCGTCACTGCAGCAGATTATTCGCGATAATGTATCCCATTATTGAGCATCAATGTATTTATGTGTATTTTTTTTTATTCATACAGTTTCGTTGGGCTTCAAAGTATTCCTAATCACCGCCCTCCCGTGGAATTTAAAATAACTATTACACAGACAGGACAGTTGTTAATAACATCTACCTTGATGGTTTGAAAACACTAGTGGGGTGGGGTAACGATACAACTACGTACATGTATCCCGGGTACGTATCCCTACGCACAGTCGATCCAGCTGGACCACGGCGGTGATCTAGCTTAGCGTAGTGCAAGGCCGCGGCGGACACCGTCGTACCAGTCACGGTGTGCCGTTCGCTCAGGCGATCTGCAATGCTACTCCACACAACACACCAGTTTCTCATTTACTCGCAATGTAAATGAGGACAATACAATACTATTTGATGGATTAAAACTAGTTTCTTTTATAGTTTACCATATGGGATTGAGGAAACAATTTCCAGAACGACATTTTAAATTATTCGGATTCACGGGCCAGTGAACCCACTGGTATTGACAACGCTACAAAATAATAACAATTATAATGAACTCTACGCCATCCCATAATGGACGCATACACACTTTTTGCTCCAGATTATGTACTCGGCTCACGCCCCCTACATATATGTCGACCATTATGCAACCCATTATTGGTTGGCAGGTCGTTCATTATTGTTTTAAAAAATGGAAATAGTAGAGTAACTCCAGTAGAGTATATGAACCGCATGCTATTTTTTTTACATTCTAAGTCATTGATATCGTGTTATTGAAATATAATACTTTAAGAGCATTGCCGTCTGTGTTTAAAATAAGTATATTAATTATACAAGTATGACAGATGAATGCAAGGATATATAGAATTTTTGTGTGTTCGGTAAATTATGATATTAAAATGTAATAATCTCACGTCTTAGCGAGTACTGAACAGAACATATCAATAACACGTGGTATTTGTATTCTACAGCATTTTTATTACAAACATTGTAGACCGTCAATTTATAGTCTATACCCCATCTTCTCGATTATTCGATGTATAAAAGCCAGCAAGGAAACCAGCTATTGTGTGTATTTCAACCATTGTTGGAGTACCATAACATGTACCACGCAGCACAATTCATCCCAAAGGTCACTTATGTTTGGAGTAATGTTTGATAAGCAAGGTGCATGTCCTGCAATCCTTTGATATGCAAAACAGTTACCCATAAGTCAGAACTGAGTTTGGCATCATCGTTAATATCGCCACCACAATTTTTCTGTGTCAAACGTATGACCCAAACAATGGAAATACTTCAAGAAATAATACATGAACTCTTTCCATCTATATCATTATTATATTAATTTATTGTAATCCAAACACTACGGCCATGTACGACACAGTAACATAAATTAATACATGGAATCAATTGATTTCCAGAAGAGCACTTCATTAACCTTTATTTCCCGGCCTGTTACACATCTTATAAAAATGAATTCTATCGCGTGATTGATAATCACAGGATTTTTTTTTTAATTTGTGGGAGTTCGGTAACCTAGAATATTCAAATGTGATAGTCACATGTCTAGGCGAGTAATACATTAAACAGAAGATAAACAGTGGTATTCGTATTCTACAGAGTTCGCTTTACAAATATTGTATATCATCAATTTAGGGTAAATGACCCTTGCGTCTTCAATGTACTAAGATGAAAGCGAGCAAACAAATTCTGCACTACCAATTTTGCACAATTTTCAACCATATATTTCTAGAAAAACGCATAAGACCTAACTAACTTTTGAAATGTGAGTTTTTATATTTGTGAATTTATTTTTGAATATTATCTATACTTTATAGTTAGTGTGCCCCCATCGGTTTATTCGCATATATAAAAACACCTATTATGTTGGCAATATTGTTCTGGTCGACCAAAACCGTATTATCCAGCAGTTGAGACGTCGACAACGTCGATATAGACAAAATGGTCTTACCATAGTTGTAACGCCACACATTGGAATATTTTTTAATATAGTTCAATTAACTTTAATATAGTTGTGATATGAACTCGATTAAAAAACGCGTTTCTATATAGGTTTGTGCTTTAATTGGAGTTTAATTTAACTCAATTACAATGCAATATAAGTAACGTGGAATTGCGTTTTAATTAAGTTTAATTAAATAAAAGTTGAATATCCCGTGACTGAAAATAGAAATGTTTGCGAAGCTTAGGTTTAGTAAAGGGGGAAGGTAAATTTAGTAATATTAATATAAGTGTACCATACATTCTTCCTTTATTAAGCCTAGCTTCGAAAGCTTGACGTAAATTCGATTAAATATTAATATAAATTATGAAACATTATGAGTCCCCATGTTGTTGTTAACGGTTAACATGTAATCTCAAATTTCGGAAATAATATGAAATAATGAGATGGATTCTCATGAAATAATTAAAAATGTTTTTGTTACTAGATATAGAAAAGAAATGTGTTTTTTATTTACAAGTAAAACAATGAAAATTGATTGTCATTAAAATTGCAGGAAGATTTGTTCCTTACACGGATCAATCAATTGTGTGTATGGAACTGGTTTCAATTTATACTTCTATTGTTAACAACACGGCTTATAATAATGGAAATGAATACGTAGCAAACGAACATTTATAAGAATATCGAATTATGTCAGGAGATCTGAGTTTAGTTATTTCGTTAAATATATTTTCTTTTTGATTGTTTGCAATGTTTAGATATCTAAATCGATTCCCCATAGACTTAATCGGATTTTGGGATTTACCAATCGAATATAACTAGGCGTTTTTTTATGTATAAGTGGTACATATTTTTTTACCGGTAGCCTACTGTTTGATCTGTTTCCATGGCAACATACTATGGCGCTGATGCACACAATCACGTTATCTGCTACAAATGCGACTAGTACAAGCTGAATGTCAAAAGAATCATGTAGTAACTGGCAACTACGGTTCAATTCGTTGATATGTAATTTAAATTGTTTATGAGGGTTTCTGTTAATATCGCCCCCACTGTTTTTTGTGTACCATCAACACTGTAATATTTATGAAGAATACCACATTATCCATTAAAGCGGTGGAGGAAAGAAGTGATTGGGATGTGACAAATAGTTATATAACTCTGCATTGTACCATGCACATGAAATACCTTTACATTTCTAGCATATTTAGGTTAAATATGCGTGTACGTTTTCAATACCACATATACTACACACAAACAACACGTAACAGAGTTATGGGTCTCCTTTGAACTTGTCGTAGCCATTGTCATATAGAATTTTATATAATTTACTTACAATTTAACTTTTACAACTGGGTTGGCAATGTCATAACGAATATGGAACAAAGCTTATGGTTTATTTTGTTATAATATAAGTGTTATAACCACTACATACCAATTGTGGATTGAAGGATTTTATTATTTTCATTTTGAAAATTTGCCATCTATTCTATTACTCAAACTCGTTTCGTATATATCCATCACTTTAAAAACATATATGGTACTGTAGACTTAATACATCTGACCTGGCAATGTTGCTCCATATTAGATAAACATCCTATACTCGAGTATCTGATTGTTTCTATGGTAAATATTTGTATAGTTCATAGAGCTGTTAATGTTAAAGTAAACACAGTCGGAGCTGAATTTTAAAATTATTCCGTTATTGTAGCACATATAACTCACTATATATGCTCTCTTGATGGACAATAATTGCATTATTACATTGATTGTATACAATACTGTCATCAGCATTGTGTTTTTAAATTCCAAAATGGCCACTTTGATTAATAAATAACAAACGCGTCTGTTGACGAACGCCATATTTGATAGTCGTTGTGCCAGACAAAATTTATTGTCGTTGGTCAAGTCATGATTGTTGACTGTTAAAGGTTACAGATCATTCACGCGAAATATCAGAAACTACTTCACAATTCGAATACAACTATGAACGGGAAACCTAACGTATATTCAATAATCTGGATGCTATGTATTACACAATGTGTAATTACTACTGTACGAACAGGTAAGGTCATGTATGTATCGCATATCGAGTTGTAGTTCTACGATTACATGTAGTTTTAAACATAGAGCACTACCATGTGTCAGTTGCTGCCACGATGCGATTACCTACACTCATGTTAGCAAACAAGACACATTTCCACAAATTGCATCACAGTACAGTAAGATTCAAAACAGACATACACACTCCGAAAAAG